AAAAAATAATTAAGCTTTTTGCCGTAGGGCACATACACTCACCAGAAACAGAAAGAAAGAGATAGAGAGAGGAAAAGTAAGAAATCACGCTCCAGAGGGGATGGCTATGCCGCCATACTTTGTCCTCCATTCTCCTCTTGGGATTTTGGGCACACACACACACATGCACCCAACGTGAGTTCAAGCTTCCAGGTAGATCCAGGAGTTGGTCATGTGGGAGTCCAATGCCTTATCACTGTGCCACCTGCTGGCCTTCCTGAACACTCTTACTGCAGCCCAACTCACTGGCTTCTGGACCAACCCACTCCTGCTCTAAGTCTTAGAGGAGGTCATTGTTGACTCCAAGGGCTTCAATAGAAATTCAACTTTCTTGGAGACAAATTCTTAGAAGTTTGATTCTAGGATGTTAGTATGAATTGAGTTTATTTAGATCTATAGATATTAGATTACTATATAAAACGCATAACCAGTTAGCATAATGGCTATGTCGCTGGACTCCCACGTAGTCAAACGCGGTTCGTGTCCCGGACCCGGTGGCTTAAAACTCACGTCGGGCGCGTGTGCGTGCGTGCCCAGGATCCCTAGAGGAGAATGGAGGAGAAGGGATTGCGGCGTGACCATCCCCCCTGGGGGGTGATTTCTCGCTTTCTGTCTCTATGTCTCTCTCTGTCTGTCTGGCAAGCGCACGCGCCCTACAGTGAAAATCTCTCCAAAAAAAAAAAATCACATAACCATTATGATTTATTGTTGCCATACTGAAATTAAACAAAATTACATTCATTGAGCACTTACAATGTGAAAGGAACTGGTCTAAGCAATTTTCATATATTTCAATTTAATCCTCCAAACAACTCAGTGATATAGATACTATCATCCTTATTTTATAGATGAGGAAACTGAGGCAGAGAAAGCTGACAAAAAGCCCACAGCCACACAGATACCAAGAAGTAAAACTTGGGTTTGATTCTAGGCAAGCTTTCCCTGAATATGTATTACTAACCACTCTGACATATTGCTTCTGAGAGGATATTAATACTTTTATAGCCACCCAAATAATTCTTGATAGAAATGATATTATTCAGGAAAGTCATTCTTATCACTGCAAGCATTTCAAGAGTGACATAAAATCCTGATATTATGTTTTCATTTACACTTATCAAACCAAGGAAAGCTTAATAAATATAATGCTTAAAAATGGATTTTAAGGGACCAGCAGATGGCATAATGGTTACATCACTGAACTCCCACATAGTCTAATGCCATTCGAGTACTGGAGACTTAAAACTCACACTGGGCATGTGTGTGTGTGTGCATGCCCAAAATCCTGAGAGAAGAATGGAGGAGAAGGGACTGTGACATGGCCATCCCTCCCAGGGGGATTATTTTTCATTCTGTCTCTCTGGCAAGAGTACACACCCTTTACAAAAATCTCAAAAATAAAAGTGGTTTTAAATATATTAAAATGTTTTTTGTAAAAATACTCATATTTATCTAATTTCTAATTATTTTTCTAATTTTTTTTGAGGGAAGAGGTTTTTTGCATAGGGCATGTGTGCATGCCAGAAAGACAGAGAAAGGCAGTGAGACAGTGAGAAATCACCCCCTCAGAGGGGCATGGCCATACTGCAGTCCCTTCTCCTCCATTCTCCTCTCGGAATCTTGGGCATGCACGCACACGCGCCCAGCATGAGTTTAAACCACGTGGCTCGGGACTTGAACCATGGTCAACTCCATGGGAGTCCAGTGACAGCCTTTATGCCAACTGCTAATCCCTCTAATTTCCAATTATTAAAGTTTTTGTCAATATCTCCAGCTAGTCTTTTCCTCAGAAACATTGCTGGATTTGCTGGTGAATTATTGTAAATCTTTTCATGCAATATAAGTGCTCATTTTAAACTCTCTTAGATATGATACTGTATTGCATAGCAGTATTGATTTTTTAAAATGATTAAAGTTCTTTTTTCCTCCATATTTATTGAAGTATAATTGATAAAAATTTTATATATTTAATATATATACAATATAATGATTTTATATACATGTATATTGCAAAATAACACTGCATTCAAGCCAATTAATACATCCATCACCTCCCACTTATGTGTGTGTGAGTACCTGTTAAAATATGTTCTCTTAATTTAATTTTTTTTTGGATTAGGTACAATACTTATATTTACTATAGTCACATGCCATATAAAAATTAGTTAACTTATGTTTTTACTTTATTAAAATAACTATTCTGGGGACAGCAGGGCAAGCCAGCTAGATCCCCCATAGATTGAGTCTTGGACCCAGCAGCATCAAAAAAAAAAAAAAAAAAGTGTACATACCCAAAATCCCAAGAGGAGAATGGAGC